ACTCTCAATCCTGTGCGTGGATTTTGCTGGTTACTTGAATAGAAAAGTGAAGACTGTGAGGCTAAAAGTGTCAGACATACCCTGCCAAGCGTGTAGGTCTGAGAGTCTTTCAGAGGACAGTGCTCTGTCTCGAGGGAACACAGAGAGGGTGCGCTTTTTAAAAAGTCCTCCACTGAAATGAATGGCTCAAGCAGAGCTCAAAAAGAAAGCAAAAAGCAGCCACATCTTAAAGAAACTACACCTTTGAAACTCCTTGCACTTGGGTAAATGGATGCCCATTTCAGCTTCAGCTTCAATTCAGTTGATTTTTACAACAGACACTGGGCCAAAGTAGCTTTCCAGAAAAGCTGATCCAGCTGACTAATGATCAGAAAGTGGCAGGAAAAACTCCATAAGAGCATGAGGGAAAAAAAACTCTGTAAGAACATGAGGAGATGAAGAGGAACCAAGACTCAACTGGAAAAACTGCCCAGAAGCGTGAAGAAAGGAACCACGATTCAAATGAAGAAATTCTTTAAGAACATGAGGAAGAACCACTGAGGAACCCCAATTCAAAAGGGAGAAATTCTCTAAGAACATGAGGAAGAAGACCGAGAGGAACCGAGACTAAAAAGGAGAAACTGTGTTAGATCATGAGGAAGAGACACTGAGGAACGAAGACTCAAAAGGAAAGGTCGCTAAGATCGTAAGGAGAAACCAAGACTCAAAAGAATTAAACTGTCTTAGACTCCCTAAGCATGAGGAACAAACACAGAGGAACCAAGACCCAAAAGAATAAACTCTCTTATATCATGAGGAAGAAACATTGAGAAACCAAGACTCAAAATGAGAAACTGTGTGAGATCATGAGGAAAAAAAACAGAGAGGAATCAAGACTCAAAAGGAAAAGCTCTCTAAGTTCTTAAGGGGAAACAAAGTCTCAAAAGAAGAAACTGTCTTACATCATGAAGAAGAGACACTGAGAAGAACCAAGACTCAAAAGAGAAACACTCTAAGAATATGAGGAAGAAGCATCAAGGAAACAAGATTCAAAAGGAGAAACTCCCTAAGCCAATGAGGAAGAGACCCTTAGGAACCAAGACTCAAAAAGAGAAATCCTCTAAGAATATGAGGGAGAAGCACTGAGGAACCAAGACTCCAAGAGAGAAACTCTCTTAGACCAAGATTCAAAAGAAGAAACTCCTTAGATCATAAGGAAGAAACATTGAGAGAAACCAAGACTCAAATAGTGAGACTCCCTGAGAGCACGAGAAAGAAAAACTGATGAAACAAGACTCAAAATAAGAAACTTTCTTAGAGCATGGGCAAGATACACTGAGAGGAACCAAGATTCAAAAGGAGAAACTCCCTAAACCATGAGGAAGAAACACTGAGAGGAACCAAGACTCAAGAGGAGAAACAGTCTTAGATCATGAAGAAGAGGCACTGAGAAGAACCAAGACTCAAAAAGAGAGATATTCTAAGAATATGAGGAAGAAACACTGAGAGGAACCAAGACTCAAAAAGAGAGATATCCCTAAACCATGAGGAAGAAACACTGAGAGGAACCAAGACTCAAGAGGAGAAACTCCCATAGGATCAGGAAGAAGAAACACTAAGAGGAACCAAGACTCAAAGGGAAAAGCTCTCTATGATCTAATTCGGAAACCAAGTCTCAAAAGAAGAAACAGTCTTAGATCATGAGGAAGAAACACTGAGGAACCAAGACTCAAAAAGAGGAACACTGAGGTACCAAGACTCAAAAGGATAAACTCCCTAGGATCATGAGGAATAAACACTGAGAGCAACCAAGACTCAAAAGGAAAAGCTCTCTAAAATCTTGAGGAGAAACCAAAACTCAAAAGGAGAAACCCTCTAAGATTACAAAGAAGAAACACTGAGATGAACCCAGACAAAAAGGAAAAAATTCAACTTCAAAACTTTATTGTCTCATAAGGGAAATTTTGGTTTACACAGTGTTTTGTATCAAAAGCATACAAATTACAGAAAACACACAGCAACACATAAGAACACATAACAGTAAAGGGATCATTTCCAAACTTCACTTAATAAGCCAAAGAGGAGCATTACCACGTTTAGTGCAGATTAGATGCTGGAACTATATGAGCAAAAATACAGGAAAAACCAGAAAAAATACAAATTGAGCTTTCTAATTACAGAAGGAGGAAAAAGTCTCTGGTCATTTTGCTGCGGCACTGAGAAGCTCTAAAGTGGCACCCTGAGGGCGTCAATTCAAGCTGTCCTAGTCGGGGATGGCTGCAGCGGTCAAGGACAACGTATGCACAAACTAACTCTGGTGATCTTACTGGCTAACCTTAAACCCAGTACAGTGTTAATATACAAACATAGGTCACTTAACTAAGATGTCAGCACAGACTCAAACCTATGAGCCAAAACAAGTCAGAAGTGCCCCTGTCAACTCTGTCATAAATTGAATGCATATTTAGTTGTAATTACACAACTATGCAGTTGATTATGTAATTATATAATTATGCAATTGCATCTAAATAATTGTGTAACGTAAAATAAATAAATAAATATTAAAATGACAATGAGTAACTCTAGTCTTTCAAGGGTCTAAAAGGATTTTGTGTTGCCTAGCACTAATGGCATTCATTCGCTTTTAATCACATCAGTGTTTCTATTTTACTTATGCATTAAACAATATTCATTTAATGCAGCTCAGATAAGATAAATGTGTATTGTACCTTAAACCCACAGGGAAATGAAAGCCGTATTTTCTTCTTAAGTAGAGAGGAGTGACTTGTTTACAAGTGCAAAGTATTTCCCATGAACTACTTTGCAATACACACCAAACAATACACGATAAGTATTTTGCCAAAATACTCATTTAATGTAATCAGGCATTCCTAATCTTGGGAAGCACTTATGTTAGCAGTTCCCTCACCAACCACAAGGTTTGTTCTGCCTACACAGCTTTAAAACGATGTTCCCCAGCGAGTCTGTGAAGCATACAGAGAGAAAGCTAACCACCAAGCAAAAGCTAACCAAGCAAGCATAACTGAGCTATCAGGCTAGCTTAAATGTCTATGTGTCATCAATCTGTTTGTCTGTTTGTTCATCTGTGCTTTTATCCATCCATCTGTTTGTTTATTTGTTCAATCTTCTGTCTGTCCCTTTCTTTGTTTATTTGTTTAATCAGCCACACCAGCGTTCCCTGGATGCACATCCAGCAGTGAAGTGAATAAGAACCTTACCTTCTTTAATATGTCACTGTATAGTAGCGGGATAATGTTATAAGTGAGTGGACACCAACTATGTATGTAGAGCCCATTTCACTAATTTTTCTAGTTTAGTCGTTTAGACACTTTAAAGTGCCAACCACCTTTATCTCTCTGCCTTTGATCACAGTGAGGAATTGCTGCTGATTGGCTCCTACATCGTGAGTTTGTCAGCCATGCTAACTGCATGTTTATTATTCTCCTCCAAGCGTGTTGAGGCACCTTGTATGGTTGACAAAGTGCCAGCAGGTCATGCATGCCCCAAAGAAAGCATGTAACCTTTTCTTTCTCAGACCAGCACTACTGTGTGTGGTACAAGGATAGAATTAGAACTTCAAACAACAGGATTACAAGCATCAGAGATGAGTAAATTGGATTTGAAACTAAATACATTGTAAGTAGTGATTCAGCATTAATTGTGCATCCAAGGAAGAGGTTCCTGTATTAAAGGATCTGAAAGCCGTGGCCTTATCTCTGCAGCAAATGCACTGGATGCGGCGCTTGAGATATTGACATATACAACCTGTAGCAGCTTGCGTTTAATGGTTTTACTGTGTCACAGATTATTGCCGGTGGGCTTACAAACAACAATTTATAATCACAGAGTAAGATAACCTACTTGTCTCGCTGTATTGTTGCTGTGCCCAGTAGATTCTATCATTGCATTCGAGACCCTTTCTATTGTGTGCTGTGAGTCACTCTTTAATTTTGTTCTTCGCCTTGGGTGTTGTCTCTGCATTAGGGCTGAACAATGTATTGTTAGTTAAGCAATATTGCAATATTAGTCTGTGATCTGAGCTCGAATTAAGGCCTCAATGTGATGCATCCAGCAAATGAGTGTTCTGATAAAATGCTGAAATTTCCTCGTAGTGGTTAGTGCCTCATGATGTATGGTTTGTATTGCTCTTACATTGTTTTGGAAGAAGAATCTACTATTACAGAGAATGAATAAAATAATATCCAGCTATCTTATGTTATTTGTGGGAGTAAAACGAATGGATTGTAAAACACCAATCTGACAAGAGCAATTGAACTGTATAGATATCAATCAAAACATAATATTCAGTAAATTATTCACTTGTTTTTTTGGATGAAATAAAATGTGAAATGTACAAATTAAAAATGGCGTATTATTTTTATTGACTACATTCCACTATGGTGAATGTGATTTCTTCAAGTAGCAGATGTTTCTGGATCAACATTGAGATAATGGTGGTCTGTAGATATTGGCCCATGACCATCATCACCATATTGATCCTGGATAGATTTAGTAATGCTGATTCAGAACCGTCATCACCATGTTGATCACCGTGTTGGACCTGGATAGATTTACTAATGTTGATTCAGGACCATCAACAACATGTTGATCCTGGATAGATTTACTAATGTTGATTCAGGACCATCATCACCATGTTTAGTATTAATCCAGGATTTTTATTACAGCAAATGAATCCAGTCTCAATATGAAGAAGATGGTTCTGAATGATCATTAGTATATCTATCCAGGATCAGCATGGTGATAGTGGTTTCAGGGTAATATTAAATATAATAATGAATCGTACCAAAAAAATGAATAGGATCGAAATTATGGTAAAATGAAAAATTTCTTGATGCATTAAACCGTTACTTCATTTCCTTCAAAGAATCATAATCAAATCACATCTTGAGGTCAGGGATTTATGTTTTATGCCTTCAGAAAGTTTCTAACCAGCTTCTGTCTGTGTGTTTTTTGTGTGTGTGTGTGTCGGTCACTTACAGGTCAGCTGGCGGTGGGCACGTGTGAGATTGTGATGTTAAACAGAGACAGCAGTCAGCCCAAGCGCACCATCGCCAGGCAGACTGCTCGCTGCGCCTGCCGGAGAGGCCAAATTGCGGGCACCACGCGGGCACGGCCGGCATGTGTGGACGGTAAGGAGAAGAGAACACAGCCTGCAGTAACTGGCTGAAAGGGTCTGCTGTCACCATAACACAAAACTATGATTTAGAAATGACTTTTGGGAACCGTTTTGGTGCCAGTCTGCATGCATTAGATGGAGTCTCCGTATAGAATGCTTGAAGGAATGGTTGCACCACAATGGTTGTAAATGAGGCTAATAATAAATTAACCCTTATAAACTGCAGTTATTGTTGGCCATTAATTGGATATTAATATTGATAATGGTAATATTATTTTTTACTTGTAGATCATTAAATCCAGTTTATGTGCCTGGTCATATTAATTCATCATTTTATTTAATTTAAACGACAACATTCTTGTTTTTCTATCCAAATGTAATGACTTGAACCTGCCTCTGAAATGTCTTCTGAGTTTTGATTACATCACAGTGCAACAGTAGGCAGGGAAAAATAATATTAACTAATAATGTCATGTCCCAGGTGGTGGTTAAGGTGTTACTAGGCCATTACTATAATATCCCAGGTGGTTACTAAAGTGTTGCTGTTATCCCACGTGGTGGCTAAGATAGTACTAGGCCATTCGGTATCCCAGATGGTTGCTAATATGTGTATATAATGCCTATAGGGCAGTGTGAGGGATGTCCTTTGTAACATCATTTGTGGCCATTAGATTTGAGTTTTCTCAACATTCTACCATTCATTTCCCTGGGGACAAAAGCTGTGTTTGAACAAACTCTACATAGAAACCGTATGAGCGATTGGTCCCAAAAGCACAAGTGCACTATTCCTATTACTGCAGTGTCATGGTTCTATCTTGAAAACTGCTACCCATAAAGATACGACGAACAAAGGTAGAATGATAAAATGAAGAACAGCTTAATTATGCAATGTGAAATGTATGTATAGCAAACACTACATGCATGGTTACTTTACATTATAATGCAATATGATGACAATAACACATCGAAGACGTGGTCTCATGTTCTCTGGCGTTAACACTTTTAACTACATTATGGTTTCTATTTGACTTACTTCTTTAAGCATTAAACACCGGTCGCAGATTAAGCCTAGTCTTGGATTAAACTGCACTGTAAATGGAGATTCCCAGTCGAAAAGTCCTTTTAATACAGGATTAGGCTTAATCTGTGTCTGAAAAGCCACATCCATTACCTAGTTAAAGCATTAGCCCTCTGAGTCAGGATTTACAGAACTGTTTACAAGAATAAAGCAGCTAAAGCCATTCAAATCTCCATCGCTCTGTAGTCCAGGCCTGCCAGCTAATAAACAAAGTCAAACTTATTAATTCATAATGTCAACACAAGTCAGATTAGGAAGTTGAAAGCAATATTGTGTAAATGTCAGAATTTCAAACCAAACAATGCAACAAAGAATGCAACTGACAGATAAATCAAACAAGAAGAAAAGGTGGAAACATATCATTACTGTCATACCAAAACCTCATACTCCCATTTTTTAACACTAGCTGCAAGTTTATGACTAATGGACCAGTTGAAATGGGAAAATATGGCTTGGGATAAAGTTCCTATTGACAGTACTGAAAAATTAAGAAAAACATTAGTAGACGTGGACGTTTCTTGTGTGGGGGTAGAAAGCCACCCATGGCTTAAACCAGTCTTTATCCTAATATGTATGAGTCATGCAGTCAGTGCAGAGCAAAGGTCAGACTTTATTTGGAGAGCTGATCCCAGTTTAACTCAAAAGGTATTATTATTATTATTATTATTATTATTATATTATAAGGGCGGCATGGTGGCACAGTGGGTAGCACTGTTGCCTCACCACAAAAAGGGTTCAATTCCCCGGCCGGGCATGTTTCTCCCTGGGTTTCCTCCCACAGTCCAAAGACATGCAGTCAGGCCAATTGGAGATGCTGACTTGCTCCTAGGTATGAATGTGTGTGACTGTATATGTTTGTGTGTCTGCCCTGCGATGGACTGGCGACCTGTCCAGGGTGTTTCCCAATGAAGGCTGTAATAGGCACCCTCTGTGACCCAGAAGGATAAGTGTCTTAGATAAACGGATGGGTGGACTATTATTCAGCACCATCAAGTCAATTCTGATTCCTGGTGACCATATGGATAGTGTTTCTCCAGAATGTCCTGTCTTCTGTTTGGGTCTTCAGGCTGGTTCATTTTTCTTCTGATTGTATACAGCTATCCTTTAGCCGGTCATCCTCTTCCTCTTTTACCTTCAGCTGTTTCAAGCATAATGGTCTTTTCCAATGAGCTGGGTCTTCATAGTATATCTCCGAAAAAATGTGGTTGTCAGAGCTTTGAGTATCTTCATTCAAATTCATAAAGACATCAACATTCTGTTAGCATTTATGTCAAAGAGTGACACATCTGAGAAGCCCAGGATCAAATGGCTTGTGTGACTGTCTCATATAAATTCCTTGTAATTGTAGTTGCAATCGACCAAAATACTAAAAAATATTATTATTATTATTATTATTATTTTTTAGTTTAAATAATTAGCTTTCCCTTTACCTTAAGTGAGCTGCATGAGATCGTTTCCAGGAAAGAACCTTAAGTGAAAAGTTTAAGTAAAGGTTAAGAAAAAAAAATCATGTTTGTAAAGTTTTAGATCAGCATTTTAGTTTTTGACTGTTGCGCAATGAAAAATTTAAGTTACACCTTTCAATTTCAATTAAGCAGTTAGGAGAAATACCTATGATATTTAATGCAAGCGGGCACGGGCTTGTGTTTCTGGCCAGGAAGGCCAGTATATCAACCCTTTTTTGTGCTTTTTTAATGCTGAACGTAGTGCGCTAGGTGGCCAGTTAGTTGTGATTGTCTTGTCATGTGCACATTATGTAGGTCTTTAGTTCCTTCTGATTGGTCCATCTCACTTACAGGCAGTTAATAAGTTACGTATTCCCATGTAAAGGATGTTTACAATGTGGGCTATAATTAAAATTTCAGGTCTTGCAAATTCAAAATCGTGATTTCGATGTAAAAAAGATTCATCTTTCGTCCCTAAATGATTGCCTACATTTAGATGATCATCTGAAGTGAAATTTAGTTTAATTCACTGAAAGTGAATTTAAAAACAGCTCCTTTTAAAGCCTAATGTTTTCAAAAGAAAAATGTTAGATAAGTATCAGACAATACTCAAGGTTTCAACATCATATTGGAAAAGAAAAAGTGGCATCATGTCATCTCTGACTGATTTATTTATTGTGCAGGAAAAGGTGGGAAGGCATAGGAAAATAGGAACACACTCTTAAAAATAAAGTGCCAAAAAGAGAACCCTTCAGCGTTCTTTTAGCATTCGCACTAAAAGACTGAAGAACAATACATCACACACACAAACCCACACAGGCTTCAGATTAGACTCATACATACACACTTTACAGCTGCACCCACACACTAATGCTTCACACACCTCACACCTCAACCTCACACTCAGTACAGCATCTAAAAGTCCCTGTCAGACTGTGTTATAGCAGCTTCCTTTTGTTTGTGTCGCTTTGTGTTTTGTTGTTTCACTATGTTTTGACATATTATGGAAGACATGTAAGGAAAATTGGTGACCTTGGGAAGCAGTGCATTAAAACAAATGTCATTTATGGGTGTTAGGTTATATTGTGGCTTTGGAATTTGGTTTATTGGATTATTGAGTTGTGGTTGTGATCAATATAGATGATAACTGCAGTATCACTATGGGCACTGTTATGGTACAGAAAAGGAACAGTATATACACTACTATTCTAAGGTTAGGAATCACTTATCATTAGCGATGCACTGAAATAAAAATCTTTTGCAGAAAATAAAAAAACGAAATTTAAAGCGCTGCCGAGCAAAGACAAAAATTTTAATCACTACGTCTCCTTTTATTTAACATTCAAATTATTTGTAAGGTCTGGATGTAATGAGACTTGTAGGTCTGTTTAATATTATTTGTTTTGTCAAAATTATTGACAGTTTTTCTCTATAAACTGAAAGTACATTTTTTTTACTATTTTCAGCCTTAATTTTCAGTGGCAGAAATTTTATCCATGCATGTCGTATTAATAATTGTTATTACATTCAAAGCATCTTATGGACCCAGCTTTTAACTCACTCACTCATGTTTAGCAGGATGAAGATTCTACACTCTGTTAGTGGTGCTTTGCGTTAGAGAGAGTAACTTATACCAGAGCCGGTTTATGAGGAGCCTGGCCTCTTCCTGTTTCCCCCATTATATCAAAAACAAGACTGCAAAGCAGCAGAGGGCGCCCACGAGCGAGTCCTCAGTGAATGGGAGTAAGTGGAGCTAAACAGCCAAAAATGAAAAGTTAAAATAGTTTCTACTCACTCGCCCAGAACTTTCCTTTAATTTTAGAAAGCAGAAGGATGTATTTCACTAAAAAAACAAAGAAAACTCACCTGTACATTTCTTTTTTTTCTACAGCAAACAAATTTTGGGCAGCAGGACACTGGCATTACTACTACTGAGTGCTGATTGGTTGGCGATCGGAGCAGCTCATTGGCTGTTCGCGCTCACTGACATCATGAACGTAAATAAGGCGCCATTTTAAACTCCTATAACTCAAGTTCAAAAGCTCTTAAAAATAGAACAGCGGTGTTAAAATGTTTTATGATATTCATTGTTCAGGACATGAATGTATTCTTTTGCATTAAAAATGTTTAAACATTTTTAAACTATGGTTTTACTCAAATGCTCCATCTTAACCCATTCATTTTGGCCTCGCTCGGGAGCGCCCTCTAGCGTTTGAGAAACCCAGAAGACATTACAGAGAGGTAGTTCTCCTCTCTACAAGTTCTCTAAGTATACAGTGGAGATGTAAGTATTATAAAGTAGACTGAAACACTTTTTAAATGTTTTATTCAATATTTGTTTTTTTTTTTGAGGGGGAGGGGACTGAAGAGAAGAAAAATGTACTGCAATTATCTATTTACAGCATGGTTATATCAAGTTATCTAACTCAAAATTTGGTCACTTAATAAATACAATGCAGTCTGGGTGCTAATTTATTATGACTTCATTCT